GAAAAATTGTGTTCTACACCGGAATTTGACACAACATTGTAAATGATTATAAATCAATAAAAATGTTAAAAAAATCTAAAAGTAAAACATGCCTTAGGCAGTATACTTTGGAGGAAATTTATAGAATAAATGCCCGAATTAGAACAGATAAAAGTTTTCCAATTAATGACTTCAGCTTGCACCTTAAGAAAGCAGAAAAAAAGAACCAGCTAAATCCAAAATATACAGAAAAAGGAAATAATAAAGATTAGGGAGGAAATCTAAAAAACAGAAAGTCAGAGCAAAATCAATTAAACTAAACACTAATTTTTTGAGACTAAAATGAATAAACTTCTAGCCAGCCTCACCAAGAGAAAAGGGATAGACCAAAATGAACAATATCTGGAATTAAAGAAGTGATGTTATTAGAGATTGTATGATTATTAAAGAATGGTATGAATATAACATGTACAATGCCAGTAAATTAAACTTATCAGTTAAAATGAGCCAAAACTATGAAAACTCACTCAAGAAGACATAAACAACGAGAAAAACTCATATATTAATTAAATTAAATTATTAGTTAAGTGTCTTCCCATCAAGGAAATTCTAGGCCCAGGTTGCTGTACTGGTAAATTCTATCAAATATTTAACAACAACAAAAAATTACATTCTACACAAATTATCCCAGAAAATGGAAAAGGACGGAATAGTTTCCATTCTATGAGGCTAGCTTTACAGTGGTAACAAAACTCAACAAAGACATTACCATAACAGAAAATTATAGGACAATATTCTTCATGAACATACATGCAAAATTTCTAAACTTTTTTAAAGCAAATTGAATCCAATAATGCATGAAAAATACATTATGACCAAATGATACTTTGTCCCAGGAATGTAAAGATAGCATAGCATTCAACAATCTATCAATATAATTCACCATATTAACAAACTAAATAAAAAACAAAAACAAAACCCATGATCATCTTGATAGATTGGGGAAGAGTATTTGATGAAATCAGTACCCATTTCGGATGGATACTCTCAGCAATGTGGAATACAAGCTCTTCAACCTGATAAAGAGTATTTATAAAAATTTAAAAACAATATCCTACCTAATGATGAAAGACAATAAAAAAATATCACAATAATCCAATTAAAAATGGGCAAAGGACATAAAAAGACATTTTTCTAAGAAGATATTCAAACGGCAAAAAAAGTTATTTGAAAAAAACGTGCATCATCAATCATCAGGAAAATGCAAATCTAAGCCACAAGGAGGTTTATCACTTCATACCTGTTGTGATGGCTGTTATCAAAAAGGCAAGAGACAACAAATGCTAGGGAGGATGTGAAGAAAAGAGAACGCTTCTGCAGTGTTAATGGGAATGTAAATTGGTACAGCCACTGAAGACAACAATATGGAAGTTCCTCAAGATACTAAAAATAGGACTACCATATGATCTAGCAATTCCTTCCTGTATATCCAAAGGAATTTAAATCAGTATCTCAAGGAGATGTCCGCACACCCATGTTTCTTTCAGCACTTCTTACAATAACAAAGACATAAAAGAAAATCTAAATGTCTCTCAACAGAGGAATGGACTACGAAAATGTGATAAATAATTGAATATTATTCAGCTATAAAAAAAAAAAGAAGGAAATCCTACCATTTGTAACACCACGGATCATCGTGGAGGTCATTATGCTAAGTAAAATACAGATACTACACGGTATCACTTATACGTAAAATCTTAAAAAAAAAAAAGCCAATTTCATAGAAACGGAGAATAGAGTGACGGTTGCCAAAGGCCAAGGGAGGAGGGAAATGGGGTGAAACAGGTCAAAGGGTACACATTTTCAGCTATAGGAAGAAGCATTTCTGATGATCTAATGTACAGCGTGGTGACTACGGTTAATAACACAGTATTGCATTCTTGAAATTTGCTGAGAGTAGATCTTAGGCATTCTCACCACCCCAAAAAGTTAACTACGTGAGATGATAGATGTATTAATTATCTTGATTTTGGTAATCATTCCACAATGCATATACATATCCACTCACCACATTGTACACTTTAAATGTATACAATTATATTTGTCAATTATTCCTCAATAAAGTTAAAAAAGATACGTGGCTGGAGACAAAGAAGCCAATGCCCTTTATGATGATGGTCTTGAACATCATGGCACAGTTGGCTACTGTATCACATTTGTAAACTAGTAAAGCTTTGCACCAAAATGTAGAAAGGGTAAAATAATAACCATTCTTTCCTCTTGTTTTGATTCTCAACCTTCTTGAATAAATTCAAAATTACTCATAGATATGAAATCTGGAAAAAATGTTAATATATGTGTAAAAGTACATCTAAAACATGCTTAATCAAGATAATATTTTCCTGATGTTATTTATAAAGAAGTAAAATTGGTATTTACCAAAAGTCTTTTAGAATTAGTGGTAGGTGGGAAATAAATACAGACTTGTCTCCAAACTCATCTCAGACTAATATAATAAATTATTTTCTGCATTATATTTTAAGTGTCAATACAGTTGAATGAACTGAATGTGAATCCAGTAAAATCTAGCCAAAAATCCTTCATATATAAACATTCATATTTAAGCAATTATTTAATATTTAAAATATATTAATATCACATATTTTAAATATGGTCCTATACTTCCTCTTACTTTATAAAACATCAAAAATACCCTTTTTGAGCCAATGCAATGATCAGTGACTTGAAAAGATATTTTCTAACACAACTTATACTTTTACATATTAGAGCATGCAGTATTAACCAATAATCATTGAGACAGTCATATCCTGGGGACAAAACCAAATATCCAAATTACTGCACCAAAGAATTCTGATGAATCATTATTTGACCTCTAGTTATAAACCTGAATGCCTTGTTTTTTTCAGGGAAAATCTTAGCAACTTTAGAAAAAAAAAACTTACAGTATTATTAAGTCAATAAAATATGTAGAAATCCCTGTAAGTGCAATTCAATCTACACCAAAGACAAAGTCGATTTTTAACACTATTTTAACAATTATTAAGTGACTCCTAAGTCTTAAGCACTGAGATGTACATGCTCATGTTAAAAATTAGAACAACCTAGGGATAGATATATAAGGAAAAATTCTAATCCAAGTAACAATAAAAACAAATTCATAACAGCCCTGATTTCTACATCTAGTCATTGATCCAAAATATTTGCCATTCAAAGTCTAGTCTTTAAATTTTCATTTAGTATGCTTATTATCCAAGTAACATGCTTAATTCCCTAAATCTCCCTTAAATAATGTTTATAAAATACATATGTCTATCACTGTCTATACCCATTTGCATCAGCCTATCAAAATAAGTATTTAAGGGGCATTGGTGGAAAATAACTTGTCCCTATATAGGTCAGCTCTCTTATTAATAATAATAAAAACTGACATTTACATAATACCATTTGCAGTTTCATATCAAGTTTCCAAACGTTTATTCATTAACACCGCCAATATTTCTTTGCATTATTTGGCAAATATTCACATCTCCACTTTCCTGATTTACAAAACAAAGCCCTAACTCATAAAATGATATGAACCTAGTGACCTTACGTTTTCTAACTCATATTCCAATTCTCTCTGTGAGGGAGAAGAGAAAAACACAATACATCTAGTATGAAATAGTTTGGTTACCCCAAGGTAGTGAAATATCCAATGGGCACTCAGGTCTTAATTTATTCCCACCTTCTTATATGCGATCCAGTCAAACACCCTGTCAATATCTGTTGCCTGTATCACTTCCTGTGATACTGGATGGGAACTGGCCAAGCCGTCAAGCAGCATCACTTCGTGCAGAACATCCGTCAGAAACCTCTGTTTTTCCTGCAATACAGTAAGTAGATGGGGCAACATCATAGGTGATTCACGGCTATGACAGAATGTGTGTGTGACTTCACTGATGACGCTCATCAGCCTGCGTGGCGAGACTTACCTCTAAAGAGAACCCAGGAAATAAAACGCCCCTTAAGTGACTTTAAAATGAAAGTGGTTGATTTGAGCAGAGGAAACAAAATCAATGTTCTCCGATAGTCCCTAAGGTTAAAACGAATTTGAAGAGTGAGCACATAAATGGAACTGACTAAGCTGGCTTATACATTCTGCAGGTTCGGGACTAAAATTCCAGTCCCAAATAACCTTTTTTTTTTTTTTTTAGTTTAGTTCAATATAAGAAGAAAACCTAATTTCTAGTGCTGTTTGTTATTTCTAGTTTCATTGAACTCTTCTCTCTTTCCCTATTCCTCCCTCCTCTCTCCCTCTCTTATTTTCTCTAATACACACACACACACACACACACACACACACACACACACACATTTATGTTCTCAAAGAATTTCAAGAGACCACAATGAATGATAAAAGGCATTACTGACATCAAACTATAATATCCGTGGATGTGAATGTGATATGTGAATTCAGAAAGTGGAGCGCAATAGAAATTAACAACCCATTCCTAGAAAGTAAAAACAGACAAAATCATGAGACCGCTAGTCTATGCATTGTTCAGACATTAGTATTTGCTCTAATAAAAGCTGACTTGTTATGTTAGAAATAAGCTGTAAAGCAAAAGTACTTCTGTGTTGTTTTTGCTTTAAGACGCCTGCTTTAAAGAAACAGCCAGGGTTTTGTTGACAAAAATGCTAGCAGCTGTCAGTCCTCCTGGCCTCCTGCCTTTGCAGAGAGAGGAGGAGAGAAAAAAGAAGTCGCAGGAGATGACAAGGGCTTAACAGCCCCTAGACAGCTGGGACCTGAGGAGCATCATTACAGAGATTAAAGACTGCAACGCTTAAATTGCTCTCACTAATTCTGAACTCACTCCTGGAGCCTCCTAGTTTGGGGCCAGCAGATAAGCAGCGTGTTTTTCCTGAGTGCGCTGTAATTGCAAGCTGAGAGCACGCCAATCCTGGATTTTAAACATTGGAAATGGAGAATAAATATACTAAGAAAAAACGGTTGACGAGGCATATACATGTGTGTAATTTAAATCTGGCTTTAAAGAAACATTTTTGTTCATCATCATTTGCTCAGTAATTTAGATTGTTTAATAAATAATTTAATTAATTAGCCATCCAGCTATATACTGTAAATTTCATCTTTAATAGCTTATTTTTATAGTCTGTAGAATATATATCTAATTTCTTTGGACTTTTGGTCTAAGAATTTCACATCAATGGTCTATGCTCCATCAAAGAGATCTTTGTTGCAGTGACTGAACCAAAAGTCACCCTATGTCCTAGAAGGATGCACCCAGACCCTAAGAGGCTGCAATAAAAAGTACAAAGTTACAATGAATTAAGTGTCAATATTGCTTAAACTAATACTGTATTTCTTCTCAAATCAAGTTCCTAATTCAAGATGAATTAAGGAGAGTGAAATTGGACCTTGCAATTTAAAAAATTTTTAATAATAATACTGGTGTTTACATCGCTCATTTTAAGTCCACTGAAAGGCAAAGGTAAGATCTCAGACAAATAGCCTAGGTTTAGAGAATAAGAGAAAATCATATATTTCCAAAATAACATTTTTAAACAGGTATGCAATCTTGTTACTTACTCAATTGTAAAGTGCACATTAAAGCTATTTGATACTGGAAATAATGAGATTCCCCTTTGTTTTTTAATCATGAAATGTATAATTATTTTTTAATATTTTCATTAATAAAAAATACCAACTGAAGATGTGATGTCCATTCTGAAGATTAAACAATATTCCGCTTTTCAAATAGCAGTTGCTCAACCCATATGTCACTCAAACATCTAACCAAAAATCACAATGTAAAATGAACTTAAAGTGAGACTTTATCTGAATCCTAATTACTAGTGTTTAGCAACAATAAATATCTATTGATCAGTATTAAAATTTAGTAAACGTATCTCGGTTTGCTAGAGATGTGATTTTTTTAAATGGTATAAAGCAAACTGGCTATGTAATTCTAAAAATAAAATCTAAGACAATGAATATCAAAAATAAAACTTACCTGTTTAAGACAATATAAGTTATACATGATATATTACTTCATGCTTCTGGAGAAAAATAGAAACAAAACTTTGCCTGGTCACAGGGGAATTTCAAAAGGCCATGTTTAAATTTAGCAGTATTAAGTCATTAGCTAGAGACTGATCTACATTTTTTGAGAGGACACTGTCTAATTGTCTAAGTAAGGGGAAAAGGGCATTAAAAGAAATAGAGAGGAGAAAAGAAAGAAAGAAAGAAAG